CCGGAAAGTGGCAGTGCATTGCAAAGACCAAACGACATTCGCTTGAAGGCAAAAGTGCCATAAGGATAAGTAAAAGTAGTCTTCTCCTGGTCCTCTGGGCATATGACAATCTGATTGTATCCCGAATAACCATCAAGGAAGCAATAATATTCATGCCCGGCTAATCTGTCCAACATTTGATCAATGAATGGAAGTGGGAAGTGGTCCTTGCGGGTTGCTTTGTTGAGCCTTCTATAATTAATGCAAACTCTCTATCCTGTCACAGTGCGAGTAGGAATTAGTTCATTTTTCTCATTCTCAATCACAGTCATCCCTCCCTTTTTGGGCACACATTGAACTGGGCTTACCTAGTTGCTCTCAGAAATAGGAAAGATGATACCTGCATCGAGCAATTCGATTACTTCCTTTTTCACAACCTTTTTTATAATGGGATTTAACCGTCTCTGTTGCTCCATACTGGGGCAGTGTCTGTCCTCCAAAAAGATTTTATGCATGCAAAACGATGGACTAATTCCCTTGATGTTAGCAATAGTCCACCCAATAGCCTTTTATGCTCGCGGGGTACTCTGAGCAATTTTTCTTCTTGAGTGTTAGTCAAGCTGGAGGAGCTAATCACGGGCAATTTCTCAGAGTTCCCCAAATAAGCATAACACAGGTGCACTGGTAGAGGCTTATGTTCTAGCTTTGGGGCTTCTTTAATAGATGGCTTAGGAGGGGTCTGAGTGACAGGTCTGTCCAACTCCTCAAATTTTCCAAACCCATGGACATAATTGCAGCACATATCAAGTACTTGCTCAATTTCTCCTATCATTTCATCTTTAATATCTTTTTCATCCCCAATCAAAGCTCGTTCAAGAGGATCTATAGGGCTCATATAAGGCATTAATGATGTAGCATCACTTTCCACCACAGAAATCATGGATAGCTCTTCATAATGGGCTGGTAACTTGAGTGCTTTATAAACATTGAATACCTCCACTTGATCACCCACTCTAATTGTCATCTTTTCTTCGCAGACATCGATAATAGCTCAGTCCGTGACTAAGAATGGACGCCCTAAAATAAATGGGACTTCCTGATCAGGCTTGTAATCCAAGATAATGAAATCAGCAGGGAATATGAAAGAACCCACTTGAACTAACACATCTTTAATCACTCCTTCAGGATGAGTAAGGGAGCGATCAGCCAATTGTAAGATAACTGTTCTTGGGCGTGGCTCACCCAAACCCAACTGTCTAAACACAGATAGCGGCATCAAATTGATGCCTTCTCCAAGATCACACAAAGCTCGCCCAACAGCATGTTTACCAATCGAGATTTGGATAGTGAAACTACCTGGATCCTTCAATTTCTGAGGTAACTTGCCTTGAATTCTTGAATTGCACTCCTCAGTGAGTGCCACAGTTTTGAACACGGTCAGCCTCCTTTTATTTGCCACTATGTCCTTGATGTACTTTGCATATTTGGGTACTTCTTGTAAGATGTCAACCAATGGGATATTAATCTGCACCTGCTTTAAAATATCAAGAAATTTTTTATACGCGGCATTATCCTTGACTTTCTGCAATATTTGAGTGAACGGAGGTGGTGGCCTTGCAACCAATGGTGGGGGTTGCTCAGCCATCGCCTCTCCAGCTGGCTTCTCTGACTCCTTAGATTTTTCTAATGTTGATTCTATAGTGGCTGGACTCTCATTAAAAGTCACCTATTTCCTCTTTTTAGACTGAACTTCTTCTTATTGTCTCCCATTCCTCAATGACACGGCATTAAGGGATGCCTTAGGATTAGCTTCAGTGTCACTTGGAAGAGCTCCAGCTGGTCTAGTATTTGAGCACTGGCATGCTGTCCCATTTGGCGCTCCAAATTTCTCATTGTTGCGGCTTGGGCTTGCTGCTCAGCCATAACTTTCTAAGCGAGGGCTTGCTGTTCAGCCATCACTTTTTTCAACATGTTTTCAAGGTGACTTATTGGACTCGCTTGTTGTTCAACCTGAGGTGGTCTATATTGCTGTTGAGGTGCTTGAGGCCTGTACTGATTCTGAGTACCTTGGTTTCCACCCCAAGAGAAGTTTGGGTGGTTCCTCTAGTTGGGATTGTAAGTGTTCCCATATTGGTTTGTTTGGCCCCTATTTGCACTACCCACAAAGCAGACAGACTCTGGATTAGTGGGGCATATGTCGCTCGTGTGACCCTCTCCACATATTTCACAAAACACTTAGACCTATTGTACCAGTTGTGCTTGTTGCTTGTTGATAATCAAGGTCATCTGATTGACTTGGTTGGTTAGTGTAGAAATCTGCGCTGATAATGCTGATACGAAATCTAACTCAAGAACCCCTGCAGATTTTTGCACTGTGTGTCTGCCCATTTCTCCTTGCCAATCTGGATTGCTTTTGGAGAATTTGTTCAATAATGCATAAATCTCATCAAAGCTTTTCTCCAACACTTGACCTTCAGCTGCAGCATCTACCACGATCTTTGTTTCAGGATGTAGACCTTCTATGAAAGTGTGAGCTAATACTTCTCTTGTTTGATTGTGATGATGACAGACTTTGATTATCCCCTTGAACCTCTCCCAAGCTGAGTATAAAGACTCTCCCGCTTTCTGTTTGAAGGCAACTATCTCACTTCTTATCTTTGCAGTTTTGCCTGAAGGGAAGAACCTTGCCAAAATTTTTATTGCCAAATCATTCCATATGGTAATAGAACTAGCTGGTACTGCCTTCAGCCATCGCTTTGCTTCGCCCCACAGTGAGAATGGAAAAAGTGTGAGCATCACATAGTCTGGAGTAACTCCGTTAGTGATATAAGTGTCACTAATCTCCAAGAAGTTCAAGATATGCTGCTGTGGATCCTCGTGTGGAAGACCCATAAACTACCCATTCGCATGAAGTAGCTGGATAACGCTTTGTTTCAGCTCAAAGTGCCCAGTGATTCTGGGCTTCACAATGCTAGAGGTGACATTAGCAATGATGGGCATCGCCACCTCCTGAACAGCCATGTGTTGCTCCTTTGCCATGTCCCCAGGAAATTGAACAAGTGCCTGAATATTATTCGTATCCCTTGCTTCCCTCAACCTCCTGTGAAATGTTCTCTCAGGTTCAGGGTCAAAGTCTTGAAGTCGGTCCTGGCTTCTGAACCTACGCATTCAATCAAAGTCCCTGAGATCCGAGCAACAATCAAGTAACGTTAGACTTGACGAAATAAACAATTAAAGCAAAAACTAGAAAGTAGTTAATATTCAAGTCCCCGGGAACGGCGCAAAAAACTTGTTGCTCCCAAACGCGCACGCAAGTATACGTGGTCGTACAAGTAATAAAATGATAAGTCAAGTGTCGAACCCACAGAGACTTGTATCAACTACCCACTAAAATTACCAAGATTGTTATTCAGTCAAGCCACAATCAACTTCAAGAATGTGATTATACTAAACTATAATTCTAATTAATAACTAAATTACCAAGCAGTAAAATGATTGTTACGTATTTAATAGAGAAAAATATTCCAGGGTTGTGATCGATTGACCAATCCTATTGTGTTCTAGTTAACTCTCCCTCTCATACAATTCATTCGTGGTTGCTAATTAATCGATAATTGCTCTCATAGCCTTCTCCCGAAGTACTACTCGCCTATTCAAAATAGATTAACGCCTATATTCCTGTGAAATCAATCTATTAAGAACGCATTAAGACTACAATATTTAATTAAGCACGATGACTATGTATATTTCTATCCTAACTACAAATCCGCCCCCCTAAGGTTAAGATCATGCTCGCTTCAATTCTTCTCTAATCTAAACACGGCTTTCCCAAGCATAGCATAGATAGTAAATAGAACCTAACTGTTGGCCAGAAGTAAATAGAACCTAACTGTTGGCCAGACAATTAAGCAATTAATCACAGCATTGAAGAAACAACCATATATTAGTGAATTGTAATCAAGTTTATGTCAAAGTTAAACGACAATATTCATGGCTAAATCACAACCCCAGAACAATGGGGTTTTAGCCACTCATGAAACTAGCAAACAACTTCATAAGTTTGGATAATTGAAAATACTAAGAAAAGATGAAGAAATCTGAGATGTTCTTGCTCCCCGAATGTTTCTTTTGTGTATTCCCTCTCAAAAGTGGCGTGTCTCCCTCACAAGTAAGTTTAGTCTTGCTTTTATACGTGTTGGGTAGGTCTAGGGTCGAAATAACCGTGTCCGAGCGAAATTGGAGATCTTTCACGTCACTAGCGCCCTGGCTAGCGCCAGGCGCCCTCCACGGCGCTATAATATTTTTGATTGTGTTTCTTTCGCCACAGGTAGGGCTGGGCGCCACCTGTGGTGCCGAAATATGCCCATTCCCTGTTTTCGTCCGTTTTGGCTCTAGTTTTGCATATTCCGCCCCCGATCGCTCCCGGATCATTCCTACACATGAAAACACATCAAATTAACATAAATTAACACATTTCACATCCTAAATCCACGAAACAAAAGCAACATGTGAGGTGATATCCATACAAATATATATACTTTAAGGACAACATCAAGTAGTGACGAGGCTAGGACACGACAAACAACACAAACCTGTGCATTTAAATCATATACGAGGAAATAACAATAACAGAAATTTAACAGATAACGGGAAGAGGGAAAAGCATGCTGAGGGGACTATGAATATTTTGAAAATTGTACAGTACAGGAACACAGTAAATATCATGCTTTGAACCACGAAAGTAATAACACAGTAATCACATTCACGACATCACCCTTCGTGCTTTTACTCTCGTCCTCGCCATAAGAAACAACAGAAACGGCACGGCATCACCCTTCGTGCTTTTACTCTCTCATAATCATGGCACGGCATCACCCTTCGTGCTTTATCACTCACTCACAAAACATTGCATGGCATCACCTTTCGTGCTTTACACTCTTCCTCACCCAAACAACAGAAACAATAACAACCCGGCAAGGGAATCATAATTAAACAACCTCGTTTCATCATTTAACTTCACAACATAAATCTCAACTTGAGCCAATACTCAACCAATATCCAAAACCAGGAAAGCATAATAAGACTTGTTTAACATGAGTAATAACCAGTTTAAGCCGGAACAGTACGTATAAAGAAACACAACGGTCACAAGTATAAGACTCACTCGCATGCTATGACCCGACAACAACGTATAGATACTCGTCACCTCACCTATACATTGTACTTAACAACTAAATATGTAGCAAATAAGGCAACAATACCTAATCACTCAAGCTAAGTTAGCCACAACACTTACCGCGATTCCACGGCCAAAATCAAGCCTCAATTACTGCTTTACCTCTCGATTCCATCTCCAATCCACTCGTAACTAGTCATAACTTAATAATATCAATTATCGCTAAAGAAATCAATTCTAATGCATAATTACAAGTTTCCCAACATTTACCCTAAAAAGTCAAAAACCGACCCCGAGCCCACTTGGTCAAAATTCGATGTTCGGACCAAAACCCGATTACCCATTCACCCCCGAGCCCGAATGTGCAATTGGTTTTGGAATCCGACCTCAATTTGAGGTTTAAATCCCTAAATTTTGGAATTCCTAAGTTCTACCCAAAAACACCCAATTCCACCATGAAAAACCCTATATTCTAAGATGAAATCTTGTAAAAAGATGAAATAGATTGAAAGAAATGAGTTAAGAATCATTTACCTATGATTTGGGGAAGAAATGGTGTTTGGAAAATCGCCTCTTGAAGTTTAGGGTTTGAAAATTTTAGAAATGAATTAAAAATCCCGTCCAAAATCGTTTTTGAACACTTGCAGATATCGCATATGCAATCAGGGGTTCGCAAATGCGAACATTCCATCGCAAATGCGAAGAATGTCCAGGACCTGTTACTATCGCAAATGCGAATAGTTGTTCGCAAATGCGACCTGTACTTATCGCAAATGCGATGCTGAGCTTCGCAATTGCGAAGGTCCCCTCCCAGCCCTACTGATCGCAAATGCGAAAATTTTTCGCAAATGCGAGCATCGCCAATGCGAAGTCTGCAGACATGAAATATACCAGCAATTTTCTTAAGTTTCAAAATACTCCGTAGCCTATCCAATACTCACCCGAGCCCTCGGGGCTCCAAACCAAACATGCACACAGGTCTTAAAACATCATATGAACTTGCTCGCGCGATTAAATCGCCAAAATAACACCTAGAACTACGAATTTAGCACCAAATTGCATGAATTTTCAAGAAAGTTTCAAAACTTCTAACTTTTCAACCAAAGGTCTGAATCCGGTCAAACAAACTCCGTGTTTCACCAAATTTCACAGACATGACTTAAATATCATATTAAACCTGTACCGGGCTCCGAAACCAAAATACGGGCCCGATACCAACAAGATCAACCATTATTCAATTTCTAAGAACCATTATATTTTCTGTTTAACAATTTACTTCAAAAATTCTTTTCTCAGGCTAGGGACCTCAGAATTCGATTTCGGGCATACGCTCAAGTCTCATATTTTACTACAGACCCTCCGGGACTGTCAAAACACGGGTACGGGTCCGTTTACTCAAAATATTGACCGAAGTCAACTTAAATCAATTTTAAAGGCAACACTTAGTATTTTCTCAAATTTTCACATAA